CTCTTTCCCCCTCATTCTGTTTCAAAATATTGTGCATTGTACACCATTTTCATTTGCACCTTTCAGCGTCTTGGTAATCCCTGTGTGAAATGACTGAAAGCATTATTGCCATGGTAATTCTTAACAGTTTTTTTTGTGAGTGTATGGAGCACCATCAGGCACTATAGCTACAAAGCAAACTAAATAAGCAATCAGAGTTAGAGTTTGCAAAAAAAACAAAAAAATTCATTTGTTTTCCAGCTTTTATTTATTGTGTTCAAAGCTCAGAACTCCACTAATCTGCTTCATAGGATCTGTGCAAGTGTGGTTTGATTAGATTTCATTGACAGTGACTGGGCAACCTACCAACCGTCATCAGATTCAGATTGAAATGTTGCTTATTCCTGACAGATGCACCTTCAACACTGTGATAAATTTGGGACCTTTTACATTTACAGGGAACCATCCGATCGGTCTCAAATTCATTCTGCAGCTTGACAGTGAGCCCAAACATGTAGCCAGAGTCAGAGACGAGCAGAACAAAGGCACCCTGCATCAGATGGTCTGGCCCCCACAGAGGGCTCAGTCTGTGATTACACGAGACTGAAGAACTGTGGCAAGTTATCTAAGATGGTTGGAACATTCTACCTGCCCTGGAAAAACACTGTGCAAGTGTGTTCTGCACAACATTTGTTCAGCTTTGTACAGCACTGTATGCCATATCCAAACACAAACAAAAACACAAAGAACTCACTTGTGTCCTGACCAAAACTTGCATGTAGGATCCCTTTCACTTAGAGGCAGAAGCTGTTTAAGAAAATAGGTTTTAAGTGCCAAAATCTCTAAATGGCAGTGTAAATTTGAGTTTCCTTTTTTTGCCTCTGAGATTTGTTCAAAGTCTGTCACTCATTTATCCTCTTATGAAGAGCCCAAAATCACCCTTCATGCAGCCCATCCACACCCGCCTGCGGGTTTATTTCCACCCCCACTCATCAGCTGGGAATTCAAGCACCAATTCACCGTGATGTCTCTGTTTTTTCCTTTTTCTTTTTTGTGTCCAGTAGCATCTGCAAAAAAGGAAGAGTTCTGACACGAGAAAGTTCTGTCTCCTATAATCCGCTTTGCCTTTGTAAAGGGAGTGACTTTGAAAGTCACTATCGCAATTACCTCCTCACCTCCCTCATCCCCCAGCTCACCGGAAATAGAGGGATGTCGCACTCTTTATTTCACTGTTCGCCTCTCTTCAAATCCTCCCATTTGTATGAGTAATTGTAACTCTCTCTCTCTCTCTTTTTCTTTTTTGTTCTTAAATTATCTTTCATTATACTCTAATGGTTTTTCTCATTTGGAGCCTGGTGCGCATAAACACACATGGAAATTAAAAGGTTTTGGTTTGTGACAGAGATTAGCATCAAGTGGAGGTCAAACATAATAAGTTCCATTTAAAAAGAAAAAGGATATGATTATACTGCAGTTGCGCTTTGTTCAACTTTTGTCCTCAATCTAAACGGTGTAGCTCTGATAGCTCTGCCCTCATTACACAGCAACAAAAGGGCCCAGGCTGCCGGTTCACATAGCCACTCCTAGCTATTTGTCATCCTATTTGTAACATCAGAATGGAATTCTGAAGATGAAAAGAAGAAAGACCAACAAATTCATAGGCACAATTTATCCTTTCTCATTATTTGCTTGTAATATTCATAGTGTGCATGAACAAAAACCTGAGCCTTTTGCTGCCATTGGATGGACAAATCACTGAATATTATTCAGCATGTACTGGAGGACAACAGATGCCTTAGTATGTATATCTGAACTCTACCATGTTATTGGTTCATCACATCTGTAAATACTATAATCCATCTTGGATTACAGCTAAAACATTTACTTTGGATATATAAAAACATACAAGTGCTTGTTATCATATTTTTGGGAAGCAATCACAAGTGTTAATTTCATGCCCAGATTAGTCATCTGAAAAGCTTTAATCACTGAGCTCAATCAATACACTCCAATAGCAATGACATTTTATTTATTTGTTACTTTATATGGGAAAACAAAAAAATGAAATTGCACCTGCAGCTTGATTAGAAGCATATAAAATTTCAATTCATAAAAAGGTTTATGGCGTTGAAAATCTCCACCGTATAACCAAAATGACAACACTCAGCCTGTAATAAAAGTCTGCCATATGTGTGTCTGTGGTGTGGTAAACGCTGCAGGACACTGCCAACAAGCCAGAGCCGACCACCAAGCACCAAAACTGATTTGTCATGCGCATAATCTGCCTCATATCCACCAGTCTGTACACATTTGTGCACAGATTCCTTTGTTAGTGACAGTTAATGAGTGAACATGTTCTCCCTTGAAGACTTGACATGCCATGTCAGCTCAGTGACATCATTCAGGAGTTATGTGTTAACAAAATATATACTGCTCAAAAAAATAAAGGGAACACAACTTAAGACATCCTAGATCTGATGTGTTCCCTTTACTTTTTTTGAGCAGTGTATTTCTTCACATTAGAAAATTGTGTCCCATCCTACTGAGATGCTGAAAGTTTTAAATCTGGAATGAAAGCTAAACATTGCATGTCAATGTCTGAGAAGCAAATGTAGCAAAAATGGACAGTAAAGAAAAAAATAAGATTGAGGTGGTGAAATGGAAATATGTGTTTTTAGATTAAAAAACCTCACATATCAAATTATAGACACTCCATAGCATTGATGGAAAAATTATATAACACTGTTAGTATTAAAATAATGCTTACATGTTCATGTATTTAGTTTGCCTCTGAATATATGTAGTACATACTGCATGTACTACTTTAGATGCTGGACATTTATTTGACTGCCTGCATACAGCTTCCAACAGTACCAATGCAATGCCCTCTATAAGCTCGCATGCTCTGTATGTAAACTCTCAGTTGTAGCTGGTAGATAGCAAAAAGTAGCATAAAATGAAAATAAAGCACAAGCATCTCCAAACTGTGCAGCTACTATATGCACATCTTGAAAACATGAATTTTGAAGACTGCTGAATAACCACAATGTATTTACACATGTTGACACAGGGTCAGCAAATGAAGTAATAATGCAGTGCATGCCTTAGTTGATGTTGTCTTGTAATTTTACAACTTCTCTGACAAATGACAAATGTACACTTAACCAAATGAGCAAAGACAAACTGTCACACAGTGATCCAGGTGTTTTCGGGGTCTATAAAGGGGTGTGACTCCAGAGCAGTTTATTCTCATACAGTATATGTACTCTTGACTTTGGTGGCAGATGACCTCAAGTCTGACTTTTTCTAGTACAACCACAAAATGCATCAAAATAAAGCACATGACACCTTCCTTTTCACCATTTTTCAGTTTATTGTTGGCATATTGGTGTGTTTGTGTTTGTAATATGCGGAAAGAAATGTGTTTATACTTGATTCCAACTGCAACGTCAACAACACCTTTTGCATTTGGCCATGTTTTTGTTGTCTCATTAAAAATGAACCCTTAAAGTTTTGGTTATAATGACACAGAATTATCATGTACTTCAATCTAAATTATTACCTTCTTTTTATTTATAGACATAATCTTTATCAGTATCCAAAAGTGACAAAAAAAAGCCAAACAATGAGAGCTTGAGTTTTACATCTGCTAAGGCTGTTCTGTTCCTTTTTATGTCTCTCACTGAGGAAAAACAGCAAACCTTCTTCAAGGGAACTTAAACAGCAGCCAAACCTTGGAATCAGAATGTGGAACCCAGCAAATGGATAGCCTAAGTAGTTATAGATAAATTTATATATAGAGTTTTATATTCAGCTCAAAACTTCTTAAAAGAGTACAGTAAACACTTCTTACACATGATAGAAACTACTTGATGCTGCAGAATCAGAAAGTGTAGGCCAAACACTGTCCAAGCCCACGATGTGGTGAACAAACCAAACCCAAAGAGAGAGAACAAAAAATGAACAGAACACAAAAACCAAAAAAATAAATAGAGAAAGTAACCTGCCCACAATATTTTCATATAAAGTTTGAAGTAGATTGGAATAGAGACACCTGACCACACAACAAAATAGAAAAATCTAAAACAGTGGTATTGCATTTTGAAATGCACAAAGATTCTCCTGTACAATTTGGCGTCTCTCTGCGAGTACAGACGCCTAAAGGGCTCAGTGGTGTTTTCTCTGGGTGGCTCTCGCTTCGATTTGTCTTTTTGAACACATACAGTCTTCATCTGGTTTTATTTTCCTCAAAGATGTATACATCAGTGCTGTAAACAGGCACACAGATTGGAAAAGCACGGAGAGATCAGTGATCAGTTTGTTCTCTCTGTCATCGCCGTCCTTCCTCTTCCTCTATTAGTTTCTCAGTCCTGCTGAGACAATGGGCTCTTCCCGGTAAGGCTAACTGTTTACTTGCCTGTCTGCACTCAACCATTCCACCCCCTGCCACACCTTACCTCCTAACACCCTCCTCCATGTCCAACCGTCTCCTAATCCCGAGGGAGAGGGAGCCTCCAAAGCCGAGTAGTGCTCCAAGGAAATCCAGAGAAAACGTAGTTCCTTAAGGGAAGTGTTTCTCATTTTCGGTGCAGTCATGAGTGTTCTTTTTTTTTTTCTTTTAGCTGAGTGAAGAAGGATAAGGGTAGGGAGGGCATGATGGACTGAAAACTTGATGAATTTTTTTTATATAGCCTTGGTCGTCGGGCAGTGATTGTGCAAAGTCACGCAGTCTCCGGTATGTCCACGCGAAAGGAGCTAGCAAACCCTTTTCCTCGCTGTAAGAAGTAGAGAAAAACACAAAGCCTGGTTAGCTGTGTGTGTTTGTGGGTAGGGGAGTGTCATATTTGTCTAAGATGGATGACAGAACACAAAACAGAAAGATTCCACTGGTGTGGCCTTATTCACAATGACTTAGTAGGATTATACATGCACAACAAGAGGTAGGAAGTCACATCTCTCAGCGTGGCCATCCCCATTCAATCCCCGCTTGTGAAATGGCTCATGGATAATGTGTGTGGGGCTACTGTATGTATGTGAAGTGGGGAGGAGGCTGTTATGGGACTAGTGGAGGGTGGGTGAGCTGTGAATATTGCATGGCCAATTTATTTAGGACAACAACAAAAATTTGTGTCATTCATGTCCCCTCCCTTTCTCCTCAGCGCCCTCAGTGTCCCTGGGTTTGATGACAGTAATCACTGGGCTCTGGTTATCATCCACCCCCTTCACCGCCCCCCCACCCCCATGTACACCCACACTGACCTGACCCCAGGCCAGGCCCAAGACTGCACCTCCCAGGACAAAAGAGCCTCTTTGTATCAGTGGCTGACTTGATCAGATTAGGGGGATTCAGCCTCTTGGTATCATCATTCTATCCCTTCCTCCACTCCAGGCCTCTGCCCCCTCCCCTCTCTTCATCCCCGCCCAGCCTTATCTCTGACTGTTTTTTCTTCTTTGCCATTATCCAACCCCCACCCCCTCACCACAAACCCTGCACTCATTAGCGTAAGGCCCACAGTGATCTACTTTGACAGACAGATGAGTGACGGTGGTCGTGGGAAATACAGAAATATTAGGAGCCCTTCACTTGGAGTGCTGCATCATAAGTACATAATCCATGGTAACCAGAGCAGCACACAACAAACACAGTGTATGTGTCAAGTCAAAGTTGAGAGGGTAAAGAAGAGAAACACGGATGCTAATGATTTAATGTGTTTACTAGTTGTTGCTTGATTTCTGTTTGCAGGAGAAGTTTTACAGGCAACATTTTTACATCATGTCTATTTTCTGTAATTTGAAATGTAATGCGTTCTGTGCAGAAAGCTCTAGTTTTGGTGGTGTTTACATTTTTAGATGCTTCCTTTTTTGCCTTTAGGTTCATAAAACCCTTTAATTGTAAAATGTGCATTGTCACACAACAGCAACATTGCTATATTTAATCATTATCACATTTGTTATTTTTTTATTGCATTAGATGGTGTTATCTGCTTGTCAGTAGGAAACAGCCTTATATTCCCACAGGTATTATACTGACAGTTTGTTTTACTGCTTATATTGCTTGTTATTCTAATTCTTATTCCGTGCACTGCTTATAAAGTTAATTTACATTAGTGCTGTAACATAGCAGTGCTACTGTATTTTATGATTTCATGACTTCATTTCTTATGCAGTTTTATTTTTAAATTCCATTCCAGGTGTTGACATGTGCTTGTCATCAAAAACATAGCCATTTCCATATAACGTCAGCTCTCTTAATCATAATTAATAAAATGTTAACGTAACCTGCTTCAGTTCTTTTTCTAATTATTTCATTAATGCATTTGACATGGTTTTATTATTTTGATATTCCTTTAGATGATGCTGACGTATTCCTGTTATTAAATAACTACAATTGTTACTTGGTTGATTTTTATTTTATTTTATTTTTACAATTTTAATTGCTGAATTACATTACTGCTATAATACATTCATATCCACTCCCTCGTCAGTATAATGTTATTTTAACCTGCTTGGAATATAGTTCACTGACTATCAGCATCTGTAATTGCTTGTTCCATTTTCAGCCTATGAGACTCGTAAAACTCTTTTACTGTCAATAATTCATGCCACAACCACAGTACTGATGTATTTTTATAATGATTTCATCAGTTAATTTGACACGTTCTGTTCTTCTTCTATTCATTTTGATGATACTGACATATACAGTATGATTCTAATTATGCAGCATTACCTTAAAAGTTGTTACTTGATGTTTTGCATTCTTGTTACTGTTTTCATTGCTGGTTCTTTATTCTCCCTGTGTTCATCTTGTGCCTGTCACTGATGTGTTTGATCAGAACCTGCTCGGAATGCCCCACAATTCACATCAAGTAAACTGTGACCTGATGATCACCCTCTGTGATGATGCTACAAGCACCCATTGTGCCATTCATCTTTTATAAGGACTATGATATTCTAATACAAGCAGTTGGTTGCTTGCTCCACATATCTTTTAGAGCCAAAAAAAAGAATAAAATATTAATTAAAAGGGAAAATGAAGCATTTTTCCTGCTGTTCCTAACAGCATGCTGTGGTTTCAAATGATGGCGCTAAGGAAGCAGCAGGGCTCTGACAGTCTGATAATTCAAGCTAGCTGTGTCAGATGATGAGAGAGGGGGACTCTTCAGGCGCTACTTGACAAAATTATAATTAAGCATTATCACCAAATTGCAGTGATTGAGGATGTATCTCTCTGTGGCCTTTGAATGAGAGTTTAGAAACAGTGATTCCTTGGGAAATGCATCTTTTCCCTTCTTTTTTTTTCTCCTCAATTATCTAAAACTGATTTTTGATCCTCGGATCTGACACAATGACATCCGCTGAATGAGAATGAGATGCTAAGCTCAGGGCCTGTCGTTCGTCTTCGCTGATTAACAACAGCCATTTTTCATTCCTGGGCTTCGCGAGAGGGCTGACGTCTTTTATATTACAGCAGCCATTTTCCCATAATGAGACTGAGCTTCCTTATTGCTAACATCACCACCTACATCAAAGCAACCTCATAGATCATAATTGCTTTTGGCATGTTTAATTTGGAAAAGCCCACAGGCCGATCACTGCTGCGGGTTTGCACGTGTGTGTCTAAGGCTGAATTTAAACTGAGGGAAGATAAGATTATCACAGCTGGAGATAATGGAGATGCTTGAGAAAGAGGGAAGAGTTAGTTAAACATTGTGACAAGAGGGCAGAGAGACTAGGGTCAGAGCTGAAATGAATTTCACACATCCAGCCAATCCAGGGAGAAAATTGCATTGGAATGCTTTTTCATCTAATTCTATCACTAGATCAGAGAGCGGGGTGCGCACTTAGACCTGCGTAAAACACAATACTCACTTAAATAAGCTGGGTTATAAGGTGCTCTTGAGCTAGGCAGAAATACTTCCAACTCTTTCCTCTCTAGGGAGTCGTGGCGGTGGCTGAGGTGATGGTTTTGGAGATGGTGGTTTTGATGATGGTGGAGATGTTGGTGACTGAGAGATGTCTCTTTGCCAAAGGTGGAGAATGACTTATCGGCCGTTTGCTCTAGGCTTTCAAATACCTCTGTGTCCGGAACTGAGTCCATGCCAGGCACGTGGAGGTTGCTGCGGTAGTCCGGGCCCTGACGTCCATCCGAGGGCACAAAGCTCGGCATCCAGCAACGATCGGAGTGGCCCAGGGCCTTACACTCCTCTGTGCAGTTAGAGAACAGATCGGCACCTGTAGAAGAGGGGAGAGAAGAGAAAAACACAAGCCAGGCGTTGAAGTGTTTTGCATTTCATGAACAAACAGGTAACGTGATACCTGCACAAATGCTCATACAAACAAACGTGAGATGATGCAGTGTATTTATCGAGATTTGCCCAATGAATATTCATGCCACGTGCTCTTTGATTGTTCATGTCAAGGGTTTGTGGCACAGATCAAAACCTCCTGCACAAGGGACAGGAAAGCTCCTCTGCCAACACACACAATGAAAGATAAATTGTTTTGTAAAAGTTGAAGTCAATAAACTGTGTGTGTGTGTGTGTGTGTGTGTGTGTGTGTGTGTGTGTGTGTGTGTGTGTGTACTGGACTACATTATATTCAGAGGTGTCTCTATATTTTTGTCCTCCCCAGCTACATACATGAGAGGGTCAGAATATTAGGAACACCTCTGAATATAACGTAATCCAGTACAGCACCACTTTTAACTATGCTCTCAATAATAAACATATAATTGAATTTATACATTAAAGACAATTTCACCAAGAACTGAAACATTTTGAGCTTCATAAACACAAATGTTAAGGAAGAAGTGTTGCATTGAATTGCATACATTTGTACAGGTGTACCTAATAAAGTGGCTGGTGAGTGTACACATATATATATATAGTGGCAGCAATTCTATGTAGTAGAGTTAATTTTTCTCAGTCAAACCATGCCACAAAATAATTATCAATAATAAATAATGCATTCATAATGCACAGAGAGTGTGAGGAACATCAAAATGTCTGTGTACATCCCTGTTCCTGACTCATATAAACTCTCAGTTTTTGCCATTAACACATATAAGGTACTGTACATACAATATAAAAAGAGTCAATTATTAAAGTAGATTATGGAAAGCAAAGAATTTCTTTAGCAAGCAGAACCATATCCAGGATTTTAGAAATATTGGATTCATTGGCATCTACACCTTTTTTAATTATTAGATTCTGTCATATTACTAATCCTTCTTCAGTGTTTGGCTTGCCAGAATCATAACCTTATGAATATTATGGCCATCAAATATAATGTCAATCAAATACAAAACATCAAAAGTCTTTGGATGTTTGTTCAGCGCTGCAGCATTTTACATTGCAACAACATACGTGTAAAAGTTTCTTTTTTCTCCCCATATGTGAGAGCATGAGTGTGTATGTGCGTGTTTGTCGGAGTTGAGAGGCTGGTTCATTCTTTAAAGCCTTTGCCGGCAAACTGACCGCGCTCCCTTTAGCCAGGACATTAGATTAACCAAACCACAACTAAACAGTGTTGGATTACCCTGCCACCCCCATCACTGGCCCTCAGTCTCACCCCTTTTTCAAAACCTTTTGTCTTCCTTGAAAGACTAGCTGCAGGTCCAACTGAAAACCAGTTCGAGCACGCTCACTTTCATGTGGAGTAATTACTGGGTCTTTTTAATGGCGGGAATTCTCTGTAAGAAAATCACCTTATGTCACAGAGCAAAGGGTAACGGAGTTAGGAGGAACATTAGCTATTCAGCATAACTATTTAGGCCAAGTGTGAGCCTTAAGCCAAATTCTGTTTTCATTGCCCCATATGTTTTTGCAGTAGGGCCTAGATCCTGTGTATGCAGGTTGTTTGAAACCTAAATCTGCTTGCTATGTACGTATGTGTCTGAGTTGCAGTTTGGGGCTCAAATCTGTACTGTCCAGCTACGGCTATCTGCTGCTAATCCCTCTGAATACAGACTGATTAGGCTAAGACTGCTGTGTCTCAGTAAGCAGTGTGTGTGTGTGTGTGTGTGTGTGTGTGTGTTTGTGTGTGTGTGTGTGTGTGTGTGTGTGTGTGTGAGTGTAGCAGTCAGCAGTGTTACAAAGCAGATTAATTTAGCTTGCCATCACTAACAGCTTGGAAACGTGCCCAGTCTCCTATTGAGAGGAGTGGGTTTCTTATTAAATATTAAACAACATGCATAAATACACCATCACATTATGTTGTAATACGGCCTCTTACACAGGAGGAAACAACTTACTGTACAGTTAGGGGAGCAGCTAGAACACACACTGGGTGCTGACATACTATATCCGTGCACCTGGGCATGCAAGGAACACTGTATTGTGGGCAGAAACAAAAAAAGTCGAAGGAGGACGCAGAGCTCTGTTTCCATTTTAAAATGGATGCTGAGTTAATTCTTAAAATGGGAATAGGAAATGTGGCATTTAGACTCTGTCAGAGCGATAAGACACACACACAGAGTCAGAGAAAGAGGGAGGAAAAAAGAGAAAAACAGTGGGAGAGGGACGGTGTTTTCAGCCACAAAGACAGATCAAGACATCTTGATATTTCTTGACATTTTGGCAAAATTACATGTTCCCCTGGCACATTAGACAGTCTTTATCGAGTCAGGAGGATAAAAAAAAAAAATCATTTCAGCTATAAAATTGAACATCTTGCCTCATACACACACAGAGACCCTGAATCGTGCTTCAAATGTGAATAAAGGTTGTTGTTAATGCCTTTATCTCTCTTCTCTGTACTGTAGTTTTCCAACAATTTTCTCAGAGCAGTTGGCAAAAGGCATAAAGCTTCATCCGGCTGCAGAGTACAGTATCTTTCCTCCACTTCAAACAAAAATGCATCAACATGTCTCATGCTAAGTCCAAAACCAGTAGAGAGGCCAACAAGGAGACAGAAGGAGGGTAAAGCAATCTTGAAGCATGCTGACCCTCGTTACTTCTAGTGCCTCATCTCATCTTAGCATTCTGCATGGCGTTTGTGCAGGGCAAACATAAAATCTGGATAATAACCTTCATTTGGTAATTGGTATGCAGAAGTCTGAAAAATGAAATACTGATCAGCGAGCTGTTACCGCAGTGATAACGTGAACCACAGGCCTAAGAAGGAATTCATCATGGCAGCAAGGTGAGATGGGAGCGTCTGTGTGGGTGTGGGGGGGGGGGGCGTAAAAACCATAAGGAG